AATAAGTTGTAAAAATTTAGTACATTGTATATAAATTTTATAGCAGTTCACATAAATAAAGGCAGGATCGCTTAAAATAAAAAAAATAAAAAAAATATTGTATATTAGGAGTCTAATTTATTTAATTTATAGAGTATAAAAGTTTTAGTTATTTAATTTTCTTTTTTCTTTTTTTATATTGAAATTTTATTACAAGTATTAAACAGACAAAATTTAATAATTATACAAGTAAAAGATTGTAACTGTAATTTTGGATTACTTTTGTTTATAATAATTCAATTTTCACATATATATTTGATTATTAATATTATAAATAACACTATTAAAAGATAAAAATATCAAAATAATTACTAATTTGATGATTATACAGTTTGAATTTGCATTATAATCTATTTTTTTTTCTAAAATATAATTCTTAATCATAATTTGATTATTTAGGTTTTGTATATTTAGATTATGTAAATATTTGATTTGTGTTTTCAGATATGACCTATTAAAAATATCAAAGCTTATTAGTTTTTAAAAAATTATGCTGTTTTAAGTGTAGTAATAGGTTTATCTTAAATCTATCTTTAAATCAGACAAATAATTTAATATAATTATGATATTTTATATGACAATATTTACTTTAAATATTTTAGTTACATTTTTTTATATTTTTTCTCTAAACAAGATAATATTATTATTATTTAGATTAGTAGGGGGAATAAAAAAAGAAATATCAATATATCAAATATCAACAAATTCCTTTGCTATGTTCTTTGCTTGGTCTTTAACAATTAGAAATTATCAATTTATTAGACCATCAAAAAATCCAACAAAAAAAAAAAACCAAAAAATATATTAATAAGATAAATCAGCAATAAGAACAGTTAATAAAAATAAAAAATAATGCTTTTAAATTTTTACTTATATTAACTTTTGGTTCGCTATATTCACAAGAGCTAAAACTCTACTGAGCTTAGCATCTATCATTCACAAAAAATAGTAAGAGTAAAAATTTCCTTCTTGGATTTTGTGAGGAAATTTTTACTGCCAATCCCTGCAAAATAGCAGTACAAATTATAAAATTCAGTTAGTAAATTTTTACTTAGAAAAAAGTAATCACACTACACGAAGGCATTATCAAATACAGCAACGATAGCTATGCCAAAGCGCTAATTAGATCAGTATATCGGCAGATCGGTGGAATTGGCCATTTTAATCAGACCCTAAATTATATGGATATCAGTTAATATATCAGAGAATGACATATTTTATTTATGATTAATAAAATGAATACTGTTGTTAAGTAAATTTAGGGCTCAAATTCAGAGCATCTAAATAAAGGTCCAATTCTGCCGCCAATATGATAAGTTATTTGAACTTATATTTTGATACTGGTTCCTGTGCGGTATCGCATGCTGCACAGCTATCTTATTAATAAAAAATTGTTAATAATAACATAAAAAGTTCATACGTAGCAGGTTTCTAGGCCATGAAACAATAAGTTTCCTTATCATTACTTAAAAAAATTTTTTTATTATTACGAATCTGACAATAAATATACTAGGCTAATGCATAGCATTATAGGTTCGGAACTAAAATATTTAAAGTATTAATTTTTTTAACTTAGAAATAAGGTGTGTATAAATTTGAGTTTAGAGGCTTACAGTGTTAGATCAAGAATAATGAGCAAATCAAAGGAAGCGTCTAGAATAAGCATTAAAAAGAAAGAAAGATTATTGAATCTACGTAGTTGTACAAACGTAATTACTCTATTTTTTTTTTGACCTTTACTGGTTTTAATTTACGCGACACGCGTGCGGACAGACAAACTTGCACTTTGCATGTACACTAAGGGTCCGTCGCTACGCTCCGGCCAATAACATACAAATTTGATTTTGTTCATTCTCTCATATTATTACCCGATTGCGACCATATTTTTTGGCCTTTCTACAAGCTTCTTCGGCATGATTCAGTATATGTTTCTACCGATGAGTTCATTCTGGAAACACCAACGCTAAGCGAAGTAGGCAATTTTTTTCCGTGAAAAAAAAATAAGTGAGTTTCAACAGAAGCTCTGATTTCTTCAGCAAATTTAAAGGCCGACACTACATTATTATTATTGAGGAGAATAGTAAACTCTTTTCCACCATATCGAGCAAAAATACCTTCAACACGATCACATTTTTTTTGAATTAACTTAGATAATTCTTTTAAAGCATAGTTTCCTGTTTCGTGACTATGTTGTTTATTGTATTTTCGAAGTGATCCAAATCAAAAAAAACAATAAACTCAAACTTTGCTTATTTTTTCTTGCATTTTCGAATTCAATGCGATTCTCATATGCTCCAGCAGGAAGATATTGAAAAATACTACGTCCTATTTGAATTTTGTTATTTCTTTTTAAAGTGCATGAAATGAAACAGAAGTTTTTTCACCGTTAATAGAAATTCTTGATCCAGAATTTAAGTTGGTGATGTCCACTTTTCCTTTGCTTGCATGCTTTATAGCAGCAACTTATTGATCATTTCTAGTGAAATCATCCTTCCTAAGAAGTTTCGCCTAGAGGGAGGAAAACGTATTGATTTGATTTCGAGGTGAGGCTTTAATAATTTCTAAGCAAGCTTCTTTTGTCTAGAGCTTTCTGCAATACATCACAATATAACTCCTTGTAGTTATAGGTGTTAAGTTGACGAGTTTCCCTATTTCAAAACATCTCCGCTGGGTCAGTCCGAAAGATTGCTAAATACTCACAAGCATTTTTAATGATATGGATGTATTGAAAAACTTGTATCACTTTTAGAACAACGTATTATTTTCGGGACATTAACCACCTGGGTTTGTTTTAATTAACCTGAGTGACCTATCGGGTGACCCGAGTGGCGATTTTAGACGGGTCAATTCACTAGTTTCAATGAATAAAATCTGGAGGCGTAGACCATTTTTTTTTTCATAAAGCTGCTCTGATTGGCTAAAATTCATCGCACAACGAATTTTTAATAAGCGTTCTTCGATTAATCGCAATTAATCACAATTAATCACAATGATTTTAAGCAACATCTCGGTCACTAGCCAATCATATTAAAGGAGCTGCCTGAGAAACACCCT